CCTCTTTTAAGAGCCTCGATAGTCTATTCTCTCAAAATTAATTGTGTCATATATTTTAATTAACTTCCGCGAGGCTTTCTACTTATTGACGTGTATCATGCTCCAGGCCAGTTACTAAATTATATTTTCTGGTTACAATGAATTTTTCTATATGCTTACTTATCTGTTTTCACATGGAGCTCCATCATTTGTTAGTGTACTCACTCCTCCTTAGGATTTGAAACACTGGCATAATATCATGCATTAGCTCTAGCCGAATGAATAATATATATTAATTCATCCGGTTGACCTCGAAACTTCGTTCGAGCTAGGAGGGTTCCCGGGGTTACCGGTAAAGGGAGTAATATAAAAGAGGTATAAATTACGGGCCATTAATTTCTTCGGCATCGTTGACCAAGCCAGATACTATTAGTGTTACAGTTAAAGTTAGATTATTATTATCAGCATCGATATCTTAAATACATCGATACATCTTAACTACAAAGTTGAGCTGTTTCTTTTTTCCTAGATCTCGGTGATATCTGAATGGGAATATTTACTCAGAATGATTTTGAAGAAAAATAAAATGGTAAACAAAACATAATCCTATCCTAATGATATTTATACATTAGAAATGATCATGGATGCTATTGTGGCGGAATCCTGACAAGGTGTGCTCATCTAGGCTTCTCCGAAAATACGGCCAAGTTGCAAAAACGAGATCAAAGCACATCTATACAACAAGAGAGGATCGCAACCATAAAAAAGGCTACATCATCTTGATCTTCATACCTTCAAGTGATTAATCTTCAATCATTGTAGATACGAAGTGAAACTGGGTTTCGATGAATCTCCTGAAATAACATTGTTGGAAGGACTTTCATTTAGTATGAAAGTGCATGAAGAAGAAATTCGTAGGTCGATCTCACCAGAAGAGGACGGATGAATTCCGTTGTACCGCAGCCGTTTGGATTTTATACGACGTTCAGGTTGACGCAGTCCACGAGACCTCCTCCCTCGTTTCGGCTAGAAACAGGCTGAGTTTTCGTCCATTATATGATGGGCATCATCAGAGCTGGGTTTTATTCCGGTAAAGGTCTCACGTTAATACTAGTGCAAGAAGCTCAGCCAGTTTTTACCCGAAATGGGGGAGGAAATCTCCTGGACTGCTTCAACATGTACATCGTATAAAAGCAAAACGGCTGCAGTACAACGGAATTCATCCGTCCTCTTGTGGTGAGATTGACCTACGAATCTCTTCTTCATGCACATTCATACGAAATGAAAGTCTGCCCAACACTTTAATCATTATGCTTGATTTTTCATGCATGAAACTTTTTATCTGATTGGGTTTCGAAATATACTTTGTTTCTTTGGTCGTTGACGAACAATTAATGGGCATTTCTTATGAGTATGGGGCTGCATTATGGTATGCAGGACGTATTAAGCAGATGCTGGGTGGGCATTTAGTCATAAGCCTCTCAAGTGAGCTTTATAAAAAGGGTGGGTTGAAACTGGCCTTTGGGTGTTGTGTAGCTAGAATATCCAAGGAAACCTGAATCGGCGACATCGGCATACTATCAGTATCCAATTAAGCTGAAATGTGTATTAATGTACGTGAACCCATCCGAAACTCACTGAGGCCGGCACACAAACAGCCCTCCAGACGATGCGCGGCCAGGCGAACCGGTAGGCCCTAAAGCACGAGGTCTGTGTGTCAAGTTGTGAAGTCGGCCAGAGTAACAAGCCAGGACGACGCGGTCGCTGAAAAGACGACCTCCTAGGGATCTTGAGGCGAGAGGAGGGAGAGGGGAGAAGATTGGAAGAAGAGGCATTTGAGGATTTCTGTGAGTGTGGGCCTTCCTGCCGAAGGGATGGTTTGTTCGGCGGCCCATCCGTCAGTGGCCGTGGCAACAGCTCACAGCCCAGCTCATCCAGTAATATTATCTGCTCAACACAGCGCTCTTCAGATCCTCCAGGACAGCCTGAAGTGTTGGTCTGACCGGAGGATTCTAATTCCCGGTCAGTTGGACAGAGTCGTCCTTTAGCCTCCAGTCTGGTCGACTCGATGGAGCCAGCTTCCTTCGGACGGAGACGGTCGGTCAGCCAGCCGACAAGCCAGGACATTGAAAAATCCGTGTTTTCGCCTGACCCGTTGCCGGCGGCCTCGGAAGAGAAGAGGAGAGAGGGCAGAGCGAACAGCAAGGAGGTGTGTTTCAGGCTGCCTGATGCGTCCACAGGACCTAGAAAAAGAATTTCAGCCTCAGACAGTTCGGCCAAATGTGGACCGAGTTGACAGACCAGGTCTTCGGCCTCCCGACCGCCCGGAAAGTGCACTTCTACGAGGCGCCAGTAGACTCCCAAATCCGTTGCGG